TTACATACACATTGTATGGACTCTGAACCATACATTACATACACATTGTATGGACTCTGAACCATACATTACACTACACATTGTAATGGACTCTCAACCATACATTACATACACTTTGTATGGACTCTCAACCATACATTACATACACATTGTATGGACTCTCAAGCATACATTACACATTGTATGGACTCAAGCATACATTACACTACACATTGTATGGACTCTCAACCATACTTTACATACACTTTGTATGGACTCTCAACCATACACTACATACACATTGTATGGACACTCAACCATACATTACCCATTGTATGGACTCTCAACCATACATTACACATTGTATGGACTCTCAACCATACATTACAATACACATTGTATGGGCTCTCAACCATACATTACACTACACATTGTATGGACTCTCAACCATTCATTACACTACACATTGTATGGTCTCTCAACCATACATTGTTTTTGTGTTCATTTTATATATCCCTTTCAGGGTTGACAGGCCCTGTCAGAGACTTGTTCTCAGGGTCAGCCAAATTTTAAAAAAAAAAATTATTTTTTCTTATGAAATTTTTTTTTCTAAACATTATAGGCTAAACAAAAATTTTTTACCGTCAATACTTACCGAGATATGGAGGCCATGAAATTTACAGAAAACGAGCATCATGTGGTAACATCGCCGACTGCTGTCACCCAGTATTCTTTTATTTAGTATTTTATGTCCCATTTTCAATTATTTTTTCATTTTTCTTTTTCCAAGTAACTTTTATGGCCTGTGAGACCAATATGATCAGTATTTTGGAAGTTGTTTCTTTTTCAATACTACACAACAAGGGCGTAAACACTGTTGTCATTGTTTTGTTTTCAGAAAATATTTACATAAACAAACAATATGAAAGGTTGTTTATTACTATTTTTCTATATTTTATATACACATATACAGTCACAGGGAATGTTTCTAGAAGTTCTGCAGTCTGTGGAACTCTTTGAAACATGGTGTCATGCACAGTGGAGTTTTACACTCCTCACACATAAAACGAGTGTCTCTGCATTGTTGTGGGCGTTTCCTTGTATGTGCACAGACGTAACACCTCTTCTGAGCCTTTTTCTTGAAAGCAGTAGCAGGCAGTTTTACCAGGAAGTGGTCACCATGCTTCAGACGAGAAGGTAGTTGTTGATAATTTGGTTGGCGGTCTATTGCAGGTGTTGTTCCTTGGTACTTGAATACTATTTGTCTGATGACAGACAAACAGAATTCGCCGTATGGTGGTTTGTTTCTGGTCCTCATCTTATACATATTATAAGCATTGAACATGGAAATGTCTAGAAGATGGAAAAGGAGTTTTGTGTACCACTTATAACTCTTGCGAACAAAATTGGCAAACCCAATCTGCACGTCACATTTGTCCACTGAACGCATATTGAGGGTGTAGTCCATCACAGCTGCAGGTTTTAGAATGGGTTCATTGCTTTCTCTATGCTGCCCGCCAGTGTCTGCCATTTCATTAGGGTGAACTGATGACAACAGTGTGACATCTCGTTTGTCATGCTACCGAAATACCATGATGTCATTGGCAGCAAACACCTGCACCTCACCTCTACGAGTGCCAGCATCAAACCAGGGCATATGTTTCTGATTTGCATGCACTGTGCCACACACATCTGTCATGTTCACTCGCAAAAAATCACTGAGTGTGGGGCTTGTGTACCAGTTATTTGTATATAATATATGCCCCTCACCAAGGTATGGTTCTATCATTGTTCTAACCACATCACCAGAGATGCCCAATAACTTCCTGGTATTTTGCAATGTATAACTTCCAGTGTACACAATAATATCCAATACCAGACCACTGTAACAATCACAAAGCACAAACAACTTTATACCAAAGCGTTTCCTCTTGCTTTTTATGTATTGCTTGAAAGAGAGTCTTTAAGCAGAATCAAAGAATCATCAATTACAAGCTTCATGAAGGAATAAAAATACATATTAAATTTCTCTTTCAGATACACAAACACATGCCTAATCTTATATGACCTGTCGTTTCTGTCAGGCCTGGTTTTGTCTGAGAAGTGAAGCATACGCAACATTAGCACAAAGCGATTTACTGGCATTATATCACTGAAACCTGGGGTTGTAATCAGGCGGTCTGTTGACCAGTATGATTTCACACTGTGCTTATACACATGTGACATAAGCATTATTGTGGCAAAGAAAACATACATCTCAGCCACAGTGAAAGTATTGTGTTTGCCATGCTGTACTCATAGTATGTGTTGCTTTCCCTGACAATAATTTCCATCAGGGTTTCGTCAAAGAATAACTCGAAACATTCCAGTTCACTGGCATTGTTTCCCAGTGTACAACATGGCCGTATTCCACTTTGGCTGTCATCAAACTGGTGGGGATTTGGAACAAAATTGACAGCTCCTGCCAATCCCAGGTGCAGTCTACTGGTGGGTACTGGACAATGACAGGTGGTTGTGGAAGTTGTGGCTGTGGAGGCTGGTGTGGTGGGTGGGTGGGGGATGGTTGCCTTTGTTGTAGATCAGCTGAGGCAGCAGTGTGGGTGGCAGCATGGCCCACTGCTGGTGTCTCACGGCCATCACCACCACTACCACCACCATGCACATTTTCCATCCCAATTGCAACACTATCATCGTCATTTTCACTGTCAGTTCCTGTTGTACAGCCATGGGATGTACTCCGAGATGTACTCCTTTCCATTGGAATAGCATATGGCACACTACCAGAGTGCATATATCATCGTATATACTGACGCTTCACTGGGGAATATTGCACTTCACTATCAATACTGGAACTAGTTTGAAGAGCTTGTAGTTCATAATCACTACCCATATCATCACAAATGCTCACATTCTGAGTCTGGGATTTGGGAAAATAGGAGTTTCCTCTTTGATTTTGGTACAACTGAACGTGAACAAGACGGCCCAGCACCAGAGGTGGAAGGCTGAGGGCCATCTGGGTTTTCCTCACTATTACCGATATTATGGTCATTAGTTTCGGTCAAAACCTCACCAAAACCTTGAAACTCGTCTTCACTGGCACTTCCATCTATATTAGAACTGTCACTGGGGAACAAAAGTGTCCCAATTCGCTGAGTAGTGAGGATCTTCTTATCGCGAGGCATGGTGGACATGGTGTACTAAAATGGTGTTCCCACAATGCGCCACTAGGTCCCAGATTTTTTTCTACTGCACATGCCCACCACACAGACCCATTCTCTCACATCTAGGCCTACCAGCCTTTTCCCACGAGATTTGAAGGCGCTAGAATTTATGCGTACTAGTACATCAAAAACCCCTGCGTGTAAGCCATGCTAGTATAGCCGAAGCCCTGAAAGGGTTAAAATAAAGTTAGTTATTAAACTTGCTGCTCTTGTACACTTTTTTTCACACTTTAATGTTTCCTTATGTGCTTCTGTGATGTGTGATATTATTGCAACTTTGACTCTTTAGTCATATGTGCTTTTGTGATGTGTGATATTATTCTAACTTTTCTTCCCTGATCACTAATATAATTTTTAAAGTTTTCAATGTGTTTATTAACTCTACTTTTCTACTTATAAGAAAAGGGCAACTACTTAATTTTCTAGAAGTTTGGACAGTTGTTAAGAGCTGCACAAGACATCAACAAATTTATCATCTATATTGATACATATTTACTTTTGTCACAAATTTAAAGTAAAGTACTTTTGTTATCATTCTCATTATACATGTGTGTTTGAGAGTTAATGTTACTTTTTTTAACACACTGGCTGTCACTCATCAAGGTTGATTGACATTACAATGAAGAAACACTACCACTGTATCTTGTTCCATCACTGTCTTACCAGAGTTGCACCAGTATTACTGTTCAAAACTGCGAACATCCCCACCCATCTTTCAGAGTGCAGGCACTGTACTTCCCATCTTTCAGAGTGCAGGCACTGTACTTCCCATCTTTCAGAGTGCAGACACTGTACTTCCCATCTTTCAGAGTGCAGACACTGTACTTCCCATCTTTCAGAGTGCAGACACTGTACTTCCCACCTCCACCCATCTTTCAGAGTGCAGACACTGTAATTCCCACCTCCACCCATCTATCAGAGTGCAGACACTGTACTTCCCACCTCCACCAATCTTTCAGAGTGTGGACACTGTACTTCCCACCTCCACCCATCTTTCAGAGTGCAGACACTGTACTTCCCACCTCCACCCATCTTTCAGAGTGCAGGCACTATACATCCCACCTCCAGGACTCAAGTCTAGCTAACTGGTTTCCCTGAAACCCTTCTTATATGTACAAAATAGCACAAATAACAATGACACTTATATTGTTAATGTTACTGTATTGATCACTAGTGTATGTATGATTGTTGATGTTACTCTACTGATCTCTAGTGTATGTATGATTGTTGATGTTACTCTACTGATCTCTAGTGTATGTATGATTGTTGATGTTACTGTACTGATCTCTAGTGTATGTATGATTGTTGATGTTACTCTACTGATCTCTAGTGTATGTATGAATGTTGATGTTACTGTACTGATCTCTAGTGTATGTATGATTCTTGATGTTACTCTACTGATCTATAGTGTATGTATGATTGTTGATGTTACTGTATTGATATCTAGTGCATGTATAATTGTTGATGGTACTTTATTTATCTCTAGTGTATGTATGATTGTTGATGGTACTGTACTGATCTCTAGTGTATGTATGATTGTTGATGGTACTGTAGTAATCTCTAGTGTATGTATGATTGTTGGTGTTACTGTATTAACCTCTAGTGTATGTATAACTGTTGATGTTACTATATTGATCTCTAGTGTATGTTGATATAACATGTTAGCAGTGATATGTGCAGTAGCAAAAATGAAATTTTGTTGCAGTACTTTTAATTTTATAAAATACCTTTCATATTCACCACTATGATTTAACTGATGAGTAAATCAGTAAAATATTAACTTGTTAATTGTATCTACAGGATAACGACAAGCCAGAGGAGTGTACGGTGTGCTTTAATAATTATGATGAAGAACTACGACGACCACGATCACTGCCGTGTGGCCATACATTCTGCTCAAAATGTATTGAAGATACAATAAAAAACTTTCAGCTCACCTGCCCCAGCTGCCGTGCTGAGCACAGTGCCACAGATGCTACCCAGTTCCCAATCAACTACACTGTGGAGGCTGTGATAAAGAAACTCAGAAGTATCCAGGTTACATCAGTGGGAACAGTGTCAACAAAATGTGGTCAAGATCGCACAAGAAGCATCAGCAAGAAGTTTCGGTCTTTGGTACAGGAACACAAGAGCAGTATCAGTAACCTTATAAGTGAGTGTGAAGAAGCACTGTCCCAGCTGGGCAAGTACCAGGGGCAGGTGAGGGACTGGAAGACCCAGCATCACCAACTGCAGGACAGACTCTATGATCTGCTGGAGCAGAACAAGGCAGCAATAGAGCTCCTGGAACAGGAGGATACCAGTGTCCTGACTATGACAACAGAAGGAGAGGCAAAAAAGAAGCAGCTGCAGACCATGCTGGAGACCCTCAACACAGTCAACACTGCACAGGAGGTCTTCACAACCATTGATGAAGCTGATCAGTACAATGTGGAGGTTGAAGATTGGATCCAGAAGTGTCAGGAACTCTTCCCAGATGTTAACACTGTCTACACCTCTGTAAAGGTATGACGCCACAAATATTATTGAACTTTCTAAACAATTTCTTAGTTAATTTTTATATATTGATTCTGCTCTGTAAATACACCTACCATCCGACTTATGACCAAGTTCGGTTCCGAGAAACCGGTCATAAGTCGAAATGGACGTAAGTCGAACTTTACTATTGAATATCAACTTAACATTTTTGTAATGACTTTATTTTATTGTTTTATTTTGGTATTTCATGTTTTACTTTGATTTTTATGCTGTTAGTACTGTATATTATACTGTAAGGTTTAGGATAAGCACTGTGTACAACACAAACACTTGTTTATTTCCCAGAAATTTGGCATAAAAAACATGGTCGTAAGTCGAGTGGTCGTATGTTGAGCAGGTCGTAAGTCGGATGGTAGGTGTATATACAACATCAAGAGCAATATTCAGTAATCCATTATTAAATATATTAATCATTCTTCTTTCAATGCGTCGGCCATATCTGACTGAAGGAGGGTGACCCAAAAAGAAAAACAAAAGTTTCTTTATAAATTTAGTAATGTATACAGGAGAAGGTGTTACTAGCTCCTTGCTCCTGACATTTTAGTTACCTCTTATGACACGCATGGCTTACAGAGGAAGAATTCTCATCTACTTTCCCATGGAAATAGCAGGAAATAAACAAGAAAAAGCACTAGTAAGAAAAGAGAAGAAAACCCAAAGGGGTGTGTATTTGTATGCTTGTACATGCATGTATTGTTTGACCTAAGTGTAAGCAGAATTAGCAAGACATACTTGAAATCATGCATATTTATGTGACAGAAAAAGGACACCAGCAATCATACCATTATGTAAAACAATTACAGGTTCTGTTTTACACTCACTTGGTAGGACAGTAGTACCTCCCTGTGGGGTTGCTGTCTACCAACCTACTATCACAGCATAGTAGTACCTCCCTGGGTGGTTGCTATCTACCAACCTACAATCACAGAAATAACAAAAAAAGGCACAATACCGTGACTGGAACGATACACAAATAACCCGCACATAAAAGAGAGAAACTTACGACGAAGTTTCAGTCCGACTTGGACCATTTACAAAGACACATTAACCAGAAGTGGAGCAGGACGGCTACATATAGGCAGGAAGAGGTGGAGGTAGTAGTAGTAGTAGTAGTACAAGAATGGTATATAATACCCACAAGATGAAATTAAGACACATGCGCAACACCGGGGCATCCCTATCATAGACGTTTCGCCATCCAGCCAGCCACTGGATGGCGAAACATCCACAACAAAGACACCAAGATGCCGCACATGTGTCTTAATTTCATCAGTAGTAGTAGTAGTAGAAGAGGTAGTAGTAGTGGTAGAAGTGGGGAATAAGGAGGACGAGCCAGTCAAATACAAAGGAAGGGGAGCACTGCAAGAGGGCTAGGTGCCCACAGAGGGAGAGCAAGCGCACATAGGTGCATGAAAGGGGAAGTGGTGAAATAAATGAAGAAGGAACAGAAACACGAGACAGAAGAGAGAAAGACAACCCAGAGGAGAAAAAGGAAAGAGGAAAGGGGAAGAGGGAGAAGAAGAAAAAGAAAAAGAAAAAAAAAATGAGGAGTCAGGTTATGTCACGGGTGTTCTGAAGTTTGGAGCATTTTACAATGTAGTGGGAGAGGAAGGCATCTACAGAGACGAAGCCATGGCTCAGATTCATACAAGGAAAGTTGTGTATTAGATAGGATTTAACTAGACAGCGACTGTTCAAGTTGGAGGTAGGGAAGACAGTTTTAGCAGAAGACTAGTCAATAGGATGACTGTGATCTCTGACGTGACAGAAAAGAGCATTGTTAGTGTCGGCAAGCCTAACACTATTTTTGTGCTCCCTATGTCTGTCAGAAAGAGATCGACCAGTTTCTCCAAAGTATTGAAGAGGACAGGAGGAGCAAGAAATAGAGTAGACACCAGGAACATCTGTAGAGGGAGGAGAGGTATTAACGAGATTAGTGCGAAGAATGTTAGTCTGGCAGAAGGTAAGCTTGATGTCTAAGGGGCGGAGAGAATTGTTGAGATTAGAAAGACCAGAAATGTAGGAAAGGCAGAGGATAGAAGAGTTCCGAGGAGTAGAGAGTTTGGGAGAGAAGAAATTACGTTTAGCACGTGAGAGGGCAGAGTCTACGAAATGGGAAGGGTAGCCAAAACGTGAAAACGAATTTTGAAGAGTGGAAATTTCTGCTGGAAGGAACTGAGGATCACAGATGTGGAGGGCATGGAGAAAGAGGGAAATAAGAACACTTTTCTTGACAGGGGAAGCATGATAGGAAAAGTAGTGAATGTACATGCCACTGTGCATAGGTTTTCGGTAAACGGAAAAGGAAAAACCTGTATCTGAGCGGTGGACATGGACATCAAGGAAAGGAAGCAAGGAATTAGATTCCCATTCAGCTATAAACTTAATGGAAGGTGCAAGATTATTAAGAGCTACAAGAAAAGGTTGGAAGAGACTGGAGTCATGAGGCCACAGAGCAAAGATGTCATCCACATAGCAGAGCCAGAGTGAAGGTTGCACATTGAGGGTAGGAAGACGAACAGTCTCGAAGTATTCCATGTAAAGATTAGCAAGGACAGGAGAGAGAGGAGAGCCCATAGTGACACCGAAGGTTTGAGAATAATATTTCCCTTGGAAGGAAAAGGAGTTAGAGTCCACACAGAGGCGGATAAGATCAAGAAAGACATCAGTAGGTATAGGGAGATTTAGAAACCCTTCATGGGCCTTCTCTCTAAGGAAATCAAGGACATCATCAAGAGGGACATTGGTGTGAAGAGGGACTCAACGTCAAGACTAAGCATCTTACAGGTTGGGAGAGAGCGAACCCATTCAATGAAGTCTTGAGAGTGACGGAGGTGGGCAGGAGAAAAAGTACCAAGAAAGGGAGTGAGGGTTTTGGCCAGCCAAGAAGCAAGAGAATAAGAGACAGAACCTCTAGAGGATATGATAGGACGAAGAGGAATATCAGGTTTATGAGTTTTGGGAAGGCCATAGAAATAGGGAAGAGAGGGACAGATTACATGAAACCGTTGAACAAGGTCAAAGTCAGGAGGACAGAGGTTGGAGAGAGTCCTTAGTTTCTTGTTGAAAGTTCTCTTGATGCGATCAAGAGGGTTGGAAACGAGAGGAGTGAAGGTACGTGAGTCAGAGAACAAGACATCAGCTTTACAGAGGTAATCCTCGTGATCAAGGATCACTACCGAATTACCTTTGTCAGAAGATAGTGTGACAATGCTAGTGTTGGATTTAAGAGAAGAAAGGGAAAGTTGGTAATGGCGTGGAAGGTGGTGATTCTTAGAAAACAGACTAACAAGAGCAGGAAGGAGAGCGCCACGAAAAGTGGACAAGTCAGGAAGATTACGGGAGCGAGATTGATGAAAGGAATCAAAAGAGCTAATCAGGGCAATACCAGCACGAGGAGTAGGTGAAGTGGCAAAGGAAAGGCCAAAACTAAGAAGTTCAAGCTCATACTGAGAGAGTGAGACAGAAGACAGGTTAGTAACACAGTCAGTGAGGGAGAATTTAGACCAAGGGCTAGCTGCGATGAGACGTTGAAGTTTATTCTGTAGTTTGGAAGAATGAATTTGTGTATTCAGGTGAGCAGTGTCAAAGGCAATGGTAGAGAGAAGGTTACAGAGATCCTGTGCTAAAGCTGCAAAGAGAGCACGTTGACGTTGACGGAAAGTAAAGAAGGCATCTTCAACCTGTGATTTAGTAGAAAGAATGAGCTGTTGAAGTAGGAGACGGGCATGATCAGGAAAGGGAGTGCCCAATGGGATGGTCTTCAGGAAGTTGGAGAAGGAGGTGGCAGAACTTGTTCAGCAAGACAGTCACGTAGGAAGCGAAGCTGATTCTTACGATGCCTGGTAGCAATAAGAGCAGCCTCATAAGATCAAAAGAGGGGTTTAAAAGAGGGAAGAACATTAAAAAAGTTGGAGAGAATATGACGCTTAACTGCGGGGTCCATAAATAACAAAAAAAGGCACAATGCCGTGACTGGAACGATACACAAATAATCCACACAAAAAAGAGAGAAGCTTACGACGACGTTTCGGTCCAACTTGGGCCATTTACAAAGTCACACTAACCAGAAGTGGAGCAGGACGGCTATATATAGGCAGGAAGAGGTGGAGGTAGTAGTAGTACAAGAATGGTATATAATACCGACAAGATGAAATTAAGACAGATGCGCAATACCCGGGCATCCCTATCGTAGATGTTTCGCCATCCAACCAGCCACTGGATGGCGAAACATCCACAACAAAGACACCCAGATGCCGCACATATGTCTTAATTTCATCAGTAGTAGTAGTAGTAGTAGTAGAAGAGGTAGAAGTAGTGGTAGTGTTAGAAGTGGGGAATAAGGAGGACGAGCCAGTCAAATACAAAGGAAGGGGAGCACTGCAAGAGAGCTAGGTGCCCACAGAGGGAGAGCAAGCACACAGAGGTGCGTGAAAGGGGAAGTGGTGAAATAAATGAAGAAGGAACAGAAACATGAGACAGAAGAGAGAAAGACAACCCAGAGGAGAAAAAGGAAAGAGGAAAGGGGAAGAGGGAGAAGAAGAAAAAGAAAAAGAAAGAAAAAAAATGAGTCAAGTTAAGTCATGGGTGTTCTGAAGTTTGGAGCATTTTACAATGTAGTGGGAGAGGAAGGCATCTACAGAGACGAAGCCAGGGCTCAGAAGCTTCGCTTCCTACATGACTGTCTTGCTGAACAAGTTCTGCCACCTTCCTTCTCCCACTTCCTGAAAACCAACCCACTGGGCACTCCCTTTCCTGATCATGCCTGTCTCCTACTTCAACAGCTCATTCTTTCTACTAAATCACAGGTTGAAGATGCCTTCTTTACTTTCCGTCAACGTCAACGTGCTTTCTTTGCGGCTCTACCACAGGATCTCTGTAACCTTCTCTATACCATTGCCTTTGACACTGCTCGCCTGAATACACAAATTCATTCTTCCAAACTACAGAATAAACTTCAACGTCTCATCTCAGCTAGCCCTTGGTCTAAACTCTCCCTCACTGACTGTGTTACTAACCTGTCTTCTGTCTCACTCTCTAAGTATGAGCTTGAACTTCTTGGTTTTGGCCTTTCCTTTGCCACTTCGCCTACTCCTCATGCTGGTATTGCCCTGATTAGCTCTTTTGATTCCTTTCGTCAATCTCGCTCCCGTAATCTTCCTGTCTTGTCCACTTTTCATGGCTCTCTCCTTCCTGCTCTTGTTAGTCTGTTTTCTAAGAATCACCACCTTCCACGCCGTTACCATCTTGCCCTTTCTTCTCTTAAATCCAACACTAACATTGTCATACTATCTTCTGACAAAGGTAATTCGGTAGCGATCCTTGATCATGAGGATTACCTCCGTAAAGCTGATGTCTTGCTCTCTGGCTCACGTACCTACACTCCTCTCGTTTCCAACCCTCTTGATCGCATCAAGAGAACTTTCAACAAGAAACTAAGGACTCTCTCCGACCTCTGTCCTCCTGACTTTGACCTTGTTCAACGGTTTCGTGTCATCTGTCCCTCTCTTCCCTATTTCTATGGCCTTCCCAAAACTCATAAACCTGATATTCCTCTTCGCCCTATCATATCCTCTAGAGGTTCTGTCTCTTATTCTCTTGCTTCTTGGCTGGCCAAAACCCTCACTCCCTTTCTTGGTACTTTTTCTCATGCCCACCTCCGTCACTCTCAAGACTTCAGTGAACGGGTTCGCTCTCTCCCAACCTGTAAGATGCTTAGTCTTGACGTTGAGTCCCTCTTCACCAATGTCCCTCTTGATGATGTCCTTGATTTCCTTAGAGAGAAGGCCCATGAAGGGTTTCTAAATCTCCCTATACTTACTGATGTCTTTCTTGATCTTATCTGCCTCTGCGTGGACTCTAACTCCTTTTCCTTCCAAGGGAAATATTATTCTCAAACCTTCGGTGTCGCTATGGGCTCTCCTCTCTCTCCTGTCCTTGCTAATCTTTACATGGAATACTTCGAGATTGTTCTTCTTCCTACCCTCGATGTGCAACCTTCACTCTGGCTCTGCTATGTGGATGACATCTTTGCTCTGTGGCCTCATGACTCCAGTCTCTTCCAACCTTTTCTTGTAGCTCTTAATAATCGTGCCCCTTCCATTAAGTTTAAAGCTGAATGGGAATCTAATTCCTTGCTTCCTTTCCTTGATGTCCATGTCCACCACTCAGATACAGGTTTTTTCCTTTTCCATTTACCGAAAACCTATGCACAGTGGCATGTACATTCACTACTTTTCCTATCATGCTCCCCCTGTCAAGAAAAGTGTTCTTATTTCTCTTTTTCTCCGTGCCCTCCGCATCTGTGATCCTCAGTTCCTTCCAGCAGAAATTTCCACTCTTCATAATTCGTTTTCCCATGTTGGGTACCCTTCCCATTTCATAGACTCTGCCCTCTCATGTGCTAAACGTAATTTCTTCTCTCCCAAACTCTCTACTCCTCGGAACTCTTCTATCCTCTGCCTTCCCTATATTTCCAGTCTTTCTAATCTCAACAATTCTCTCCGTCCCTTAGACAGCAAGCTTACCTTCCGCCAGACTAACACTCTTCGCACTAATCTCGTTAATACCTCTCCTCCCTCTACAGATGTTCCTGGTGTCTACTCTATTTCTTGCTCCTCCTGTCCTCTTCAATACTTCGGAGAAACTGGTCAATCTCATCATAGCCATCCTATTGGCTGGTCTTCTGCTAAAACTGTCTTCCCTACTTCCAACTTGAACAGTCGCCATCTAGTTGAATCCTCTCTAATACACAACTTTCCTTGTACGAATCTTAGCCATGGCTTTGTCTCTGTTGATGCCTTCCTCTCCCACTACATTGTAAAATGCTCCAAACTTCAGAACACCCGTGACTTAACTTGACTCCTCATTTTTTCTTTTTTTTTTTTTTTTTCTTTTTTTTCTTCTCCCTCTTCCCCTTTCCTCTTTCCTTTTTCTCCTCTGGGTTGTCTTTCTCTCTTCTGTCTCATGTTTCTGTTCCTTCTTCATTTATTTCACCACTTCCCCTTTCATGCACTTCTGTGCGCTTGCTCTCCCTCTGTGGGCACCTAGCCCTCTTGCAGTGCTCCCCTTCCTTTGTATTTGACTGGCTCGTCCTCCTTATTCCCCACTTTTACCACTACCACTACTACTACCTCTTCTACTACTACTTCTACTACTGATGAAATTAAGACACATGTGTGGCATCTGGGTGTCTTTGTTGTGGACGTTTCGCCATCCAGTGGCTGGCTGGATGGCGAAACGTCTACAATAGGAATGCCCGGGTGTTGTGCATGTGTCTTAATTTCATCTTGTCAGTATTATATACCATTCTTGTACTACTACTACTACTACTACTACTACCTCCACCTCTTCCTGCTCCACTTCTGGTTAATGCGACTTTGTAAATGGTCCAAGTTGGACCGAAACGTCGTTGTAAGCTTCTCTCTTTTATATGCGGGTTATTTGTGTATCTACAATCACAGCATAGTAGTACCTCTCTGGGTGGTTGCTATCTACCAATCTACTACCACAGGATTGTAGTACCTCCCTTGGTGGTAGATGTCTACCAATTTACTACCACAGGATGGTAATACCTCCCTGTGTGGTTGCTGTCTACCAACCTACTACCACAGGATGGTAGCACCTCCCCAGGTGGTTGCTCTCTATCAACCTACTACCACAGGATAGTAGTACCACCCTGGGTGGTTGCTGTCTACAAACCTACTACCACAGGATGGTAGTACCTCCTTGGGTGGTTACTGTCTACCAACCTATTACAACAGGATGGTAGTACCTCCCTGGGTGGTTGCTGTCTAGCAACCTACTACCACAGGATGGTAGTACCTCCCTGTGTGGTTGCTGTCTAGCAACCTACTACCACAGGATCACAGTACCTCCCAGGGTGATTGCTGTCTATAAACCTACACCCACAGGATGTCAGTACCTCCCAGGGTGATTGCTGTCTATAAACCTACTACCAGAGGATAGTAGTACTTCCTTGGGTGGTTACTGTCTTCCAACCTACTATAACAGGATGGTAGTACCTCCCTGGGTGGTTGCTGTCTAATAACCTACTACCACGGGATGGCAGTACCTCCCTGGGTAGTTGCTGTCTACCAACCTACTACCACATGATGGCAGTACCTCCATGGGTGGTTGCTGTCTACAAACCTACTACCACAGGATCACAGTACCTCCCAGGGTGATTGCTGTCTGTAAACCTACTCCCACAGGATGACAGTACCTCCCAGGGTGATTGCTATCTATAAACCTACTACCACAGGATGGTAGTACCTCCCTGAGTGGGTGCCATGTACTAACCTACTACCACAGGATTGTTGTACCTCCCTGTGTGGTTGCTGTCTTCCAACCTACTACCACAGGATATTAGTACCTCCCTGGGTGGTTGCTTTAAGAGATATCCAAGGAAGGTTGAAGAATAGGTACAGGTTGTGAAAATTTGTGTGGACTGCCTCCAAGTGAGTCGCCTACCCTGGCAAACTCTGTTGATACCGAGCTCTGAGGTGGGTACCTCAGCCTCACAAGTGGCTTATAGGACAGATTTTCACAAATGATTGGTATTGCAAGAAACCTCGCCTGCATGCACGTATAAAGGACTAACTTACTTGGTGTTGCAGCATATATCCTGATCTTCACTTCCCTAAGCTAGCCTTAGCCCCTTTGGACTCCCCCTCAGAAACCACGTGCAACCGGGAGCATTAATTCCTGCAATATTCAGTCGTAATTAGTGTCCTGCCTGCACCTCAGAAATTCCTATATCCAAGAGGGTACGTATCCCCTAGTATAACTATGCAGACTCAGACACTAGCTTCTAGACTGCTCTGAGACACTGGTACTTACTGGACATGCTCTGCCAGCTGCAACACAGGCCCACAGATAAACTCACTCACAATCTCCCCAGACACTGGCCAGAAATCTACGAGATAAAGGAGGTCTTGTCTTACTGTATGGGCTGACGGAGGAGGTCATCTATGGTACATCGAGGTGCCTCTACCAGATTTCCCCAGGTCTCAAATGTGAAGACACGTGGGGGCGCCGTCTGCTGATCACGGCACGTCTTGTCCAGTTGGTGTCTGTCTTAAGAAGAGCGAGCTGGTCCCTCTTCCAGACCCTCGTCTCTTCGTTCAAACTAGGGCTGCCAGTTCTCCCTAGCTAACTTATCCTAGTGTTTGCCTACATATCGGCCTATTACTACCATGTTAAGGTCTTAGGTCTACATTATCATTATCTACAGATGCCTTAGTAAACCTAATATTAGTGTACTACCAGTAAAACTACCTACTCCTTCCCTGAAGAGTAAATCTATATACTAAATACATGCCTACCAAGAATCCATCGCCGACAAGAGAATGCTTCCCTGTTTGGGTGGGGTATAAGGGCCATCCAGCTCAGCCGTCCCGTACGGCCATGCTGGATCTGCCCTGTGGAATTTTAGGGACCAAATAAATTTCCACACAGGTGATATGCTAGGAAGGGTTGAAGGAAGGTATAGGGACATCCTAGGAAGGTATAGATGATATCCTAGGAGGGTACAGGGGATATCCTAGGAAGGGTTGAAGGAAGTTACAGGGGTATGCTAGAAAGGGTTGAAGGGAAGTACAAAATATATTAGGAAGGGTTGAAGGAATGTACAGGGGATATATTAGGAAGGGTTGAAGGGAGGTACAGGGGATTTATTAGGAAGGGTTGAAGGGAGGGTGTGAGTGATATTTTAAGACATAAGTCTTAAATAATCAACAGTTGTGTAAGTGTCAGAGTGGAGACAAGTTGTTGCTGACATCCAGCATTAATGTTTGTGTTGGTAATGACAGGTACAGGAGACCATTAAGAAGGCCCTGGACACCATCACCACAGAGACAGGTGCCACAGCTGCCACTGTTCTCCAGGGAGACTCAGCCACCACCATCATGGAGAAAGTTAAGATAATTACTGGTGAAATCCCTCCAGAGACATTAACTGTAAGTTGAAAGTCTTTGTTTCTGTTTCATGTTATACAATATTAATCATGATAACATGATCATCAAGATTTTCATTTTTAAAATTACCTACTTTCTTATTCCTATAATATGGTAACAAACTTGCTTCCTAACTTATTTATACACAACTTTTCATAATGTTTTGACTGATGGGTTATTCTAATATTCCTTACAGCTGTCATAATAACAAAAATAGACATTGTATTAACTAAACCAACTGAACCTCCTCTTCAACTCTCTGCAACAGTAAATAAACTGAATGATTTCTTCTCCAGCATAGTAATAAATCAAGCCAAAAAGTTCTGAACTCTCAAGTCCAGTTTAGTGATTAACTATTCCAAACTACTTCTATGTAGGTTACTTCAATAATAAAATCACTAACAAAGCCCAAAGCTAAGTTAATGTATGACAACTGATATATAAATAAGTTGTTCATGTATTACCCAACTATTGAACAGTAGGACACCACTCATACAGCAGGTTAGGTTCCAGGCTACTGTAGGGCCCCACTCATACAGCAGGTTAGGTTCCAGGCTACTGTAGGGCCCCACTCATACAGCAGGTTAGGTTCCAGGCTACTGTAGGGCCCCACTCATACAGCAGGTTAGGTTCCAGGCTACTGTAGGTCCCCACTCATACAGCAGGTTAGGTTCCAGGCTACTGTAGGGCCCCACTCATACAGCAGGTTAGGTTCCAGGCTACTGTAGGCCTCACTCATACAGCAGGTTAGGTTCCAGGCTACTGTAGGGCCCCACTCATACAGCAGGTTAGGTTCCAGGCTACTGTAGGGCCCCACTCATACAGCAGGTTAGGTTCCAGGCTACTGTAGGGCCCCACTCATACAGCAGGTTAGGTTCCAGGCTACTGTAGGGCCCCACTCATACAGCAGGTTAGGTTCCAGGCTACTGCAGGGCCCCACTCATACAGCAGGTTAGGTTCCAGGCTACTGTAGTGCACCACTCATACAGCAGGTTAGGTTCCAGGCTACTGTAGGGCACCACTCATACAGCAGGTTAGGTTCGAAGCTCTCGTCAGAAAGTGGGTATTGCCAGAAAGCAGAATGCCATTTTTTCCACTTATAAATGCATACAAATACCAGATAAGTTTACAATAACATATATATAGCCTCTCCTCACTTAATGACAGAGTTCTGGTCCTAAGACAACATTGGTAAACAAATTTGTCACTAAGTGAGGAGCATACTACAGTGGACCCCCGCATAACGATCACCTCCAAATGCGACCAATTATGTAAGTGTATTTATGTAAGTGTGTTTGTATGTGTATGTTTGGGGGTCTGAAATTGACTAATCTACTTCACAATATTCCTTATGGGAAAAAATTCGGTCAGTACTGGCACCTGAACATACTACTGGAATGAAAAAAGTTCGTTAACCGGGGGTCCACTGTATAATGGTAGTGGGTTTTTGTCAACCATTGTTGATAATGTTTTAATGTTCATCTTTGCACCATTTATAACATTTCTGGTATATTTTTGAAAGTTTATGCTGCAGTGTACTGTATATTGTAATAAACAAAATAGAGGAAATCAGCTCTAATATACATTATTTAGGTATGTATACTGGTCAGAGAGCCCATCATAAGTCCGAGTCATCGGTAAACAAGTATGTCACTAAGTAAGGAGAAGCTGTATTAAGCTAACAGTAGAACTAGGCATTAAAAATAATAAAAAGTAAAATACATACACAGTATATTCATTACTTTAAAATATTTGTGGTCTTAATGTAGGGCAAAAAGTTAGTAGTATTTATTTGTAGAAAGTCAGGTGTAGGCAGACCTGGCTCCCACTCCCAAATGTAATATTCAATATTTAAACTCTTAACTGTCCATATGTAGGTCTACTTTGTTACTGCTGGTGCTCCAAATGTAGATCAACGTTTTATCTTTTCTGCCTCCAAATTTCCCTCAACTGACCTGGGATGCCTGGTCAGTATAGAATGGGTCTTAACACCCAGTGTGTGCAGTATTAAAAAATCTGGGACCACTTAGTACCTTGTGGGAGCACCAGATCAATTGAGTGCCATCTAGAACAAAGAACATGGCAAACACCAGGGATTCACTGATGTCATGTCATATTAGCACTTCCCTATAAAGAACAGTTGACCCTTAGTTTAGTGGCTTTGAGATAGATGTTTCCACAAGTGGTCAAGGAAATATCAAAAACCTCAATAATAACCCAGGTGCAACATTTGTGCAACATCCTTTCATTTTTAATACCACTGGTAGTGTCATCCTGCTAGAATGTCCTATAGCCTATGCCCTAAGTAAAGAGAAATAATTCTGGAATGTGTAATACATGTTCAGCAGGCTGGCTGGCTGGCTGGCCGAGTGGGTGGGTGGCTGATTGACTTTGGTTGTCTCTACTCCTGTCTGTATCTATTTTTGTATGTAAATGTCTCTATCTGTCTGTATCTATCTCCATTTGCTTATATCTCTGCCTATCTCTGTATATATCTCAGTCTCTGTCTATCCCCATCTCTGTCTATCCCCGTCTCTGTCTATCCCTGTCTCTATCTCACAGGTACACATAAGTACAGTTATCATACAAAGTGTAAATTACCTAGGATAACCCCAAATAATCCAGATGAAGTGTGATACTGTGCTTGTAGATATGAAGCATAATAAGCATGACTGGCAAGCAATACACATTTTTCACTTGATCAGGAATCAGACGTGACGACTCTGCATCGTGTGTAATATGTGTTGGTTCATGAGCGGCTTTCTCTCTGATACAGAAAGAGACAAAAACAGGCAGAGACACTGGAAGACACATAGGCAGACAGAAAGACAGACAAGTAGACATATAGGCATGTTACATGTTTAATGTACAGTAGACTGTCATTTAGCATGAGTTTATTTGCCACGATTTGGGTATAGCTCGATTGAAGAATTGTGGCACAATTTTATGTAACACGTCGTATGATAAATTTAACACGGTTTGCGGGAAGGAAAAAAAAAAACTTCCATTTTCCTCAAGCGGCTGCCATGTTGTGGTTCAGCGGGGAAGACCTCCCGCCATCTACAGCCCCCCCTACACCACCCCACCATCCTAGCATTCATACTTCATACGTGTCCAGTCCAACTTCTCTGTTACAAGCTTGTGATTGTGAATTGTGTTTTGATCTTTGAATTGCTATATTTTGTATCTTCCAAGCAATCATGACACCCAGAAAGCATACCAGTGTTGCTCAAAGTGGCAAGAAAAGGTGCAAGCATTTAATTAAGTCTTAGAATTAATGAAGGAAACAAAGATATTAAACAAGACATCCCGTTCCCATAATGAAGTGTTACTTTGTACACATAAAAAGATGTAATCATAAGTTTGTGTGACTGACTGACTTACTGAATGACTGACTGACTGACTTACTGACTGACTTACTGAATGACTTGACTGACTTACTGAACAACTTGACTGGCTTACTGAACTTGACTGACTTACTGAATGATGACTTGCTGAATGACTTGACACTTACTAAATGACTTGACTGACTTACTGAATGACTTGACTGACTTACTGAATGCCTTGACTGACTTACTGAGTGACTTGACTGGCTTACTGAATGACTTGACTGACTTACTGAATGACTTGACTGACTTACTGAATGACTTGACTGACTTACTGAATGACTTGACTAACTTATTGAATGACTTGACTGACTTACTGAATGATATGACTGCCTTACTGAACAACTTAACTGACTTACTGAATGACTTGACTGCCTTACTGAATGACTTGACTGACTTACTGAATGACTTCACTGACTTACTGAATCACTTGACTGTCTTACTGAATCACTTGACTGACTTACTGAATGACTTGACTGACTTTCTGAATCACTTGACTGACTTACTGAATGACTTGATACTTACTGAATGACTTGACTGACTTACAAAATGACTTGACTGACTTATTGAATGATTTGACTGCCTTACTGAACAACTTAACTGACTTACTGAACGACTTGACTGACTTACTGAATGACTTGACTGACTTACTGAATGATTTGACTGCCTTGCTGAACAACTTGACTGACTTACTGAATGACTTGACTGACTTACTGAATGACTTGACTGACTTACTGAATGACTTGACTGCCTTACTGAATGACTTCACTGACTTACTGAATCACTTGACTGACTTACTGAATCACTTGACTGACTTACTAAATCACTTGACTCACTGAATCACTTGACTCACTGAATGACTTAAAGTTAGACACTCCAGTACAACCATCAACTTCAGTACCAGAACCTCTACCATCTACCTCAGCCCAGTAGGGCCACAACATAACTCTCCACTCTTCACAATCATCCACAAACACCAGCACCCACAATTTAAGGAAACAATATTGTTATTTCTGTTACATTTGTAGTCTTAAGCAATAAAAACAACATAATACATCATAACAGTGAACTACAATTATATATTCACTTTTATTTTTGTAAGATGTGGAGGTCTAAAAAAAGTTGTTTGGCTTTTTTGGGGCACACAGGAATGTAACCCTATTTTTCTAGTAAGTTCTTCAGTTCATCTAACATGGTTTTACCTAACATGGTGTTATCAGGAACGTAACTACCGTGTTAAATGATGGTCTACTGTATAATAGTGAAAACAAATAAAGCCAAGGTTCTCTGGAGCAGTGCATCATCATCAAGTGTCACTGAACTGCTGCACTGTCAGCAGTGGAGTGACACTCATCTTACACCTTGCTTCAAAGAGTTTCATATATACAGTGGTCCCTCATTTATCGTCATTAATCCATTCCTGGAAGTGCGACAGCTATCGAAATAGATGATTTTTTAATCAATTTTCCCCATAAGAAATAATGTAAATACAATTAATCCATTCCTGACACCCAGAAATATTAAAACAAAAATTTTTTTTACATGAATATAGATGTAGTAAATAAACAATACAATGGGACATAGTGAATGAAACATTAACAGCATAACACTTACCTT